GTGGATAGAGCGTCGGCCTGCGGACTGAAGGGTCCCAGGTTCGATTCCGGTCAGGGGCATGTACCTTGGCTGCGGGCACATCCCCAGTGGGGGGTGTGCGGGAGGCGGCTGATCGATGTTTCTCTCTCATCGATGTTTCTGACTCTCTGTCTCTCTCCCTTCCTCTCTGTAAAAAATCAATAAAATATGTTTAAAAAAAAAAAAAGATTCCTCCTACCTACCTCACAGAAACGTCAGGAGAGATAAAGTAGATGATGAAAAATCATAGTAAAACAAGTAACTTTTTTAATCAAGCATACCAGAACTCACAAAGAACATTTCAATGATGATGATATTATTGCTAATAATAATAATAATAATAATAAGTAATGCTTCTGTGGGAAATACTCCCAGTGGCACTTTAACAAGATACAGCCAAAATTTTAATCTTATTATTTTGAACTTATATATTGTGCTTAACACATTTTTATCCTCCACTTTATTTACCAAGCTTGGTCTTTTCTAAGCCAGAGAAAAATGCACCTAAAAAGGCAAATGTGTGTCTCCTACGCATTATAAAAATAATGTGCTATGATTCTGAGGGTAACTCCCAGAGGTGGGAATGTTGGAAACAATGACAGTTTTATTGGATTAAGCTTACAATTTTGCAAGAAACAATGATCACAGGATGAGAACATGTGGTTGTATATATAGGGAAGAGAAGATAAAAATTCCTCACATTATCATCACAGCTATTAAAGAAAGGTGCTTTGGGGAGTATGAAGTGTTCTGGAAATGCATGGAATTAATATTAGTTCTCCTCTAACCTGCAGCACTTGATCTGCTGCAGAACTTTTTTGCCCAGGGCAGCTCCTGTAATGTTCTGCATAAAATCACTCATATTTGGCCCTGGTTAGTGTGTTCAGTGGTTAGAGCGTCAGCCCGCACACTGAAGGGTCATGATTCCCGGTTAAGGGCATGCACCTGGTCAAGGTCACGTACCTGGATTGCAGGTTTGATCCCTAGCCCTGGTCAGGGCGCTTGCTGGAGGCAACAAATGGATGGTTATTTCTCTCTCTCTCTCTCTCTCTCTCTCTCTCTCTCTCTCTCTGTCTCTCTCTCTCTCTCTCCCTCCCTCCCTCTTTTCTCTCTCTCTTTCTCTCAGAAATCAATGGAAAAAATATCCTCAGGTGAGGCTTCATGTTTGAAGGCATTTGAAGGCAGAAATGCTTAACTTCTCACTGACCATACCGTCATTTCTAGGTGCTGCCACCAGTGCTGGTCGGCTCAGCTCTGAGGACCCTCTTTGCAGAGTCTCTGGGATGGGGTAGACTGTGGCTGCCAGCAGTACTGTGGCCCCTGAGCTCGGTTTATCCCTTTGCGCACTTGCCTTCCAGGTACATGACTCCAGCCTCTGGTTCAGTCCTGGAGCAAGTGCTCTCCATGCAGTACAGTGTGGTGACGCCTCTGCTAAACCCCCTCATCTACAGTCTGAAGAACCAGGAGGTGAAGGCAGCTCTGAGGAGGATGCTGGCCAGGCAGCCCAGGCTGACCTTCTAACCCAGGCCCCACCGCCTCACCCGGAGGAAAAGTTATGGGAAAGAAGAGGAAGCAAAAGAGCTGTCACCACTCAGTGGCCTCAGCATCCATTCTTTTCCAAAACAGAAATCTTCATTTTTCTCACCCCAGTGCCCCCCCCCCTCAAGCGAGTTTGGGAAACTTCCACAAACCAGATGACACCATCCACCGGGGGCCCAGTCACCACAGGAAAATGCTCACAGCTTCACTGGCCATTTTTACAACCATCGCTTTTCCCCCTCATTTCTTGGCCTTTCTACCCCTCCCCTTTCTGCCCCTTCCTCACTCCTTTATTTTTGGCTATGCACAAAGGGGAAATCAACCTAGCTGGGCACTAACAAAAATCCCACTGCATTCTGGGAAAGTTCAGTCCTGGTAATGTGGGACCCAACTTCTCCTTTGTTCCCTTCCCAAAAAATTCCTGGCAAGATCTACAGCTCCATAACAACTCAGAAAGAAAGAAATAAAATAAGTGAGTCTCCTCCTGTCTTTGTTCTTAACAAGGGACATCTAAAGTAAAGCTTAAAAAAATAAAATAAAATAAAGCCTAGCAAATAACAAATCCTCAGTAACTACTTGTTGACTATTTAAGGAATGAAGCCTAAGTTCATCTGAAGAGTCCTTTCTCTTAAATGATCTCAGAAAATGGGAGGAAGTGAATATCGTCCTCTAACGTGTAAGTCTTAAGAGCAAAGCCCCTGTCCTAATAGCTTCTGTATCCTCGGTGTCTAGAATAGTCCTGTCACCTAATAGATTCAATTAGCATTAGATAAGTGTGTGTGTGTGGGGGGGGGGGGCACAAATGAATGAAAGAGAAGAGGGAGTGAGAGAAGGAACATATTAAAAAGAATATTTAATTTTATTCAGTAAAATTCTTGCATTGATAACAATATAGATATCAGAGGAAAAGTAGCAGGGAGAAAAAATTGGGATAGAAAGAGAGAAAACGATTCCATATTTCGGGGCACTGTCCTGGGTCCTCCTCACACAGAGCTCTGTGAATGGCATGCACAGTGACAGCCCTGCCCTGAGCCTCCTCACAGCCCACCTCAGCCTGGACCACCTCAGCTCCCTGCCTATTCAAGGCATCCCAGCCGAAAGGAATGAGAAGGAGCTGGAGAGAGCAGAGCAAATGCTCAGCTGCCATCCCACCTCCCAATCAGCTCCCAAGAAAGTTCTCAGGAAGAGAACAATAGCAGTTTCCTTCCTGTTTCTACCTAAAGGCCAAGACCTCTGCTTCAGTCAAGACTACCTCCATGCCAGCTCCCTGGCTTATCTCTGTCCTTGACCCTCTGACCCCAGGCTAAGACCCTCTCTGAAAATAAATGTATTGTCAGTTTCTTTCTGCAAAGGCCTCTGAAGATTATGGCCTTATATATAGTTTACCCACAAGTGAAATTTCCTAATCTTCTCTATAGGATGAGGGCCAAGGCTATGGGGCTGAGCCAGCCTCAATTTTAGTTGCATTTCTGCTCTGACCACTTGATGGAGCTGGACCCTTATAGCATGTAACTGAGGCAGGGTAATAAGTAAGAAGATGTGTGAGCTCAATGGGAGGAATGGACATCCAATCCTGCCCTCACCATACACCCATACACAGGGATTACTCTGAAAACCCTGTGTACTTGGGGGAAAGCCTTTTGTCCCATAATTAGGAGAGGAATAGCATCCAATACCCTGGAAGATGCATCACATTGTATTTAAATTCACACAAAACTTGATATGATGAATATCAAGTTATTTCCTGAGAGTTTATTTTCATTAAGTATACAGGAGGGATGGTCTCCCCACCCCTGCCTAGCCCTATAGGTCCCTAAGCAGGCCATGGGGGCCTCATTTGGAAGCTGATAGTCTCTGAGATAAGTAAAGTCAGATTGCCGAAAGCCCCAGCAGGTAGAGGGGGTGGGCGCAGTGTAATTAGCTATATTAGGCATCTTAGGAAAGCAGGAAGAAGACAGGAATTAAAAGATCACTCAGCTAATTCAGGAATGTGGCAGATTAAATTGGTGTTTTGGAATGCTGGATTGTCAAAGAAGGAAGAGATTTCTGAGAAACCACCTAGGTTAAAACCCTCATTTTAAGAGAGGAACTTGGGGTACAGAAGACAGAGGTGACCTGCCCAGATTTGAACCATCAATGAGCAGCACAGACATTAGTACTCAAATCTCCTGATTTTTCTTCTTTCACATTTCTCATAATCATTAGAATAAATAAAGTTCTGTGAAAATCCTTGTTAAAAACAAGTGAAGCAGCAAGGAGAAGTAATGGAAAGCAGGGTCCAAACCCAAAGGCCCGGTGTCTGATTCTTCTATTACTGAGCTGACTGTAAGGGTCCTCTGTTTTCAGCTCTGGTTTCCAGGCAGAGTTCCTCTCACAGCTCTTTGTGAAGAGGATTTCCTTGTCTCAAAGACAAAGAAATCCCTCAACCCTTTTCAGATGATTGAAGCCCCTGCCCTTGCCGTCTTTTTCCCACTCCACATCTCCATCCGTCAAAATCCCACCCACATACAAAGCCAACTCAAATGCTACTCCTTTCATGAATCCTTCCTTGATCCCTTTTCCCACACATACCCTCAAATTTAAATGATCTTTCCTCCTATGAATGCTCAGGGCACATTTCTAACCTTCCCCATGATGTTTATGATACCAATGAATTCATGCATAGGTGGGGTTCCTTGGCCTGGCTGGAGATCAAGGCCTATCGGGGGGCCAGCTGGGAGGTTGGCCAGCCGGCCCCCACCCCCCCCATTGGGGCCTATCGGGCCAGCCAGCTGGCAGGGGGAAGGGACTGCGGGAGGTTGGCTGTGGGAGTGCACTGACCACAGGGGGCAGCTCCTGCGTTGAGCGCATCATAGCGTCTGGTTGAGTTCCAGTTGTAACAGTCACTTAGGTTTTTATATATAGATTCCTTTTATATTATTATTTATTAGTGTTTATTTCATCTCTCTTACTAGTTCTTTTAGCCAATTTTGGACCCCCTCTATAGTTCCTTAAATATTCTAGGTGATCCATCAAAGTTTGTTCACTGAGTTGGCACAGAAAGTAAATCCATCTTTCTAAGTTCAGCCTATTTCCTTTTCAGTAGAGATGGAAGGTAGCTATGATCTATGGCTTCAGTATCCACCCACACACCCTACTCCCTCTCCCTCCAGGAAGAAAATACAACCAGCCATTCAAAATCAGATCCTTTATTTAAGACAGAGGTAGAATCCATTGTTGTAGTGAAAGTGCCACCAGGAGCATTCAGCATGGGACAAAAGTCTAGTGCACCAGTCACATACCCCTAGAGAATTGTCCTCACATGTCCAATGGTGTTACTACAGGGCCCAGATCTCAAAGACAAATTAGCTTCAAGTGAGTAGAAAGATGCAAACTGGGGTATCTTTGGGGAAGAGGAGTTCCAGGAACAGAATAAGAACAGAAGAAGCAAGAACTGTCGGTGCTCACAACTTCTCGCAGAGCCACTGTTCCAGCTTCTCGGAGCAGAGTGGCTTATGGGGCAACCTGATAATGGAAAGGAGACAGGGCAAGTTGGCTGACTGGATCTTAGCTTAAACTTCCATCTAGCTTTATCCCCAGGATAGCTGAGGTGGAACAGTATGGGTGAAAATTACAGAAAGACTTTCCTAGCCAGATGACCCACCTAGTGGAGCAGGGTCCTTTTTTAAAAATAAAGTAAAATAAAATAAAATAAAAATTGCAGGGCTAGAAAAGGTATACAGAGGTACTGAGGGTTCACTTTAGGGTCTAGGACTATACAAGTAGAATCAGATGTGCAAGTCTAGCTGAAAGGAGGTTGGGTCTCAGCCTTCTATGAGGAACTCCTATTAGGACAATTGCCAAACAGGAGTGGAGTGATGGAGGCTTAAAACTTGGAAACCTGAATCTGCTCGATGAGTGTTGCTTTGGAGACTATATTCTAGATTAAAAGGCCAGAAGATAGAGAGGAGAGGAGTGGTGCAGGAGCTAAAGGGGTGAGAAGAAGAAAGGGAAGGGGAAGTAGAAAATAGAATAGGGACTCACCAGTAGTCAATTCCTTCACTATCCAGGATCTTCTTGGCACATATCATGTCATCAGTAAGGTCATCATCCAAGAATTCTGGAAATAGTTTGAGGGAACAGAATGAGAGAGCTGAGTATTATCCAGAAACGTAATGAGTTTTTCTCTTCCCTGGATCTAGTAGGTCTGGTCCTTCTCTGGAAGCTTATGCCTATTGCCTTTCTACATAAGAAAGCCAATACAGAAATCTAGTGCCTCCCCTAGCTGAGGGGCATGTCTGGAGGAATTATCAACCTCATCAAGACTTACTCTGAAAATGCTGGGTATCAGACTTCAAGACTCCCAGACAGCTCAGATCATCTACCCATAAACTTCAGGGGACTGTTCGGGGATTTGGGGATCATGAAAAACTCTAAAGCCTCTTACATAGCATTCTCAATTCAAGTCCCAAAGTTGATGTGGAGTCCAAGGCAGTGAATCCAGAGATCATCCAGGGCTAGGCTCCAGAAAAACAGAGAAACGGGGTAAAAGAGGCTACTCACTATCACAGGAGATGTCACAGATGTTCCTTGACTGTATCTGATTGTCCCTGCACCAAAGTTTGTTATTGATCTGGAAGAGTCCATATTCTGTCTTGCCATTGTTATTGACCATGGTTTGTGTGTCATAACCACTGACATGAAATATGTTACAGATCCCTGGGAAAAGAGGAGAAAGGTATCACAGAAATGTCCAGGCGTAGCATAAATGAGGACCTGTATTCCTAGGGAGAAGATGGCTCTCCAGCAAGTCTCCAAATATGGCAAAGCAACAGAGTATCTTGATGAGATCAAAAGAAAAGTTCCAAAAAGATCAGACAATGGGAGAAAGAAAATATAGGAGAATAAATGTACTAAATATGTAAATAGATCAACATAAGAGGGTTATTAGATATTTGAATGAAAGTAAGGATGAAAGGGGCGGGAAAAGAGAGTGGAGGAGAGAAGCAGATGAAGAATGGGATGAAGCAAGGTAGCAGAAAACTCACATTCAGGTAGAGTGACGCCTCCATAGCCATCCATGTCTTTCAGCACCTGGGACAGCTCACATTTTGTAAATTGCTTGGCCTCAAGGGCAGGGAACAGAATGCCCACCAGGAGCAGAGACAAGAAGGACATCATGTTGGCTTCCCCCAAGAATCTGAAGTGGGCGCACCACTCATTCTTCACCTCCTTTTATTTGCGGAGAAAGCCTCATGAGCCCTGGCACCAAGCCCTACTTCTAGGAAAAGGATGAAGAAAAATGAGTTGTGCCACACAGAAACACTGAGCCTGCCAACTTCCTTCCGTAATTTCACCCACTTTTCCTTCCCCTTCCCTAATCTCTAATCCATACCAGGTATTGCTTTTTCTCTGTGCAGAGATAGTTCCAAGCATGATCCTGTTCCGCAGTTGGCTTTATTTATAATTTTTTTTCTTGTGAGGTTGGTTCTAGGAAGAAGGATGTCCCCAGCCAACCTCAAGAACAAAGGAGACCTCAGGGGTATTATGAGTGAGGCAATCAGAACATACAATAAACGTCCATGGCCAATGCCCCTCTCCCTCTACAAACATACAGATTATGTATAAGGATTATATGTCATTATATGCCATCATCCCAGGATTAGAACTAGCACTTGTCCAGTCAACCCAGGCATAGCACAAAGCTGAGGAAGAGTCCCTTGATATAGTGGTTCATGACTGAGGGCTCAGGAATGATTATAAAATATGGCAGCACAGACTTTCAGAATCAGATATAACTTGGATCTAGAGACTTACTACTTCAGGAAAACAGAGAACTTGAAAAGTGTGTGTGACAGTACATATTTATGTATCCTCTGCACTATTATCAGGCTCCCACCCCCAACCCCCAAACCTGATTCCGCACTGGCATTAATTAAAACATTGTGTAAACCCACGACTAACAACTTGTAGCAGATTTGTTCATGGGTATAAAAACTTGCAGACACCCTCAGAGTTGGCCTCTGTAGATTAAAAATAGCCTGACCCAACCCAATAGAAAAACTGGACTTCAATCACTTTAAGATTAGGCCAGGATATACATGGATCCTATAAAACCAGATTCTAGGTCTGAGCTTTAAGATCAGTGCCCCTGAGCAAGTGGAGTTGAGGGTACTGAGTCTGAATAATTCCTTCAACTTGTTGACAACAAGCTTCATGTACCAAAGGCTGTTAGCCTCCTTCATGCCAAGGCTCATCCTCTAAACATACTTTCTTATATTGCAGAGAGGTATCCTTCCCAACTGAACTATTTAAGACTTCCAAACTTAGGCATTGCAAACTGTTATATCCTACAACTCTTCGGAATCAGGGAAAACTCCTCTCGGTTTTATCCCATTTCTGTACCATGGGTAACCAGTATATGAAGTAGCATGAGTGAACTGAGTGTGGAGATCTTGGAGTGCCGAGAGAGGAGGAGAAAGTCCTGATAGCAAAGAGATACATTTTCAGAAACAGAAAAAATGCTGTTACTGAATTTCTCCTCCACTCCACCCAAAGGTATTGGGAGAGGTACATGAAGGACAGGAATAGGAATTCTTTACACTAAGCAAGTATGGCTGAGATTGTGACTGGGAATGAGAGGATGATCTTGAACCATGTGTGATATGGACACGTTTAAAAGCTAGTCCTGCCCAGCTGGTAAGGCTCAGGTCATGGTTCGATTCCCAGACAGGGCACATGCCTGGGTTGCAGGCTCGATCCCCATTGTGGCGTGTGTAGGGGCAGCAGATCAATGATTCTCTCTCATCATTGATTTTTCTATCCCTCTCCCTCTCCCTCTCTGAAATCAATAAAAAATAAAAATATAAAAATTTTAAAAAGCTAGTTCTAAGGACTAGTCTTTCTAATAATGGAGTCTAGTGTAAAATGCTTTCTGTCCTGGGCTGTGAACTAAGTACCTATGATAGAATAAACTAGTGGGCCAGGAATCACAGGCACTTTCTACACTTCCAGTCAAGTCAAGACTTATGGCATAGCCTGCTTGCCTATAATTTGACTAGAGGCCCGGTGCACGAAATTCATGCACAGGTGCAGTCCCTACGCCTGGCCGGCAATCGAAGCATGAGCATCTGGCGTGGAAGGGCAGGTCCCAGCTGACCTCTGGGCCCTGGGCAGCACCTGGGCCCCCAGGCCCCTGTGAGCCCCCCTGCACCTGAGTCATGGTGCCCAAGTCCCCACATGGAGATGCGGTGAGCGCGACCAGACACCGCATGCCAGGGTGCAGCATGGGCCTCTGGGCCACCCAGCGGTGCCACACAGAAGCCAGGCAGGCAGTGCGCTCTCTCCCAGCCAGCCTCACAGACCAGCTCCTGCGTGAACCCAAGGGGAGCCTGACCGGCGCCTGCACTCCCGATGGCTGTGGGCCCGGCTCACCCAGAAGAGGCATGGATGCAGGGTGGGCTCCTCGCGGGTGCCTGGCACCTGAACGCGAGCCCTGGCATCCCAGGGGGAGGTAGCAGGGGGAGTGAGAGCGAGCTCTGTAGGCACCCCGCATTCTCACCACGCCTCTGTCCCCGTCACCCCCACCCCCAGGTAACCAGAAAGAGTTTGCAGTGTGTCACTGACACCCAACATGTTCCGCGCTGCCTCTAATGGTCAGCGCACGTCATAGCGAGTGGTCGAACTCCCGGTCAAACGACTGCCCGAGGGGACAATTTGCATATTAGGCTTTTATTATATAGGATTACCTCTATCCTTCTCTATAAGCAATAAAAAGCAGTATTCAGATCAGCAATCGCAGCCAAGTGCAGAAAAGAAAATAAATATGCCTCAGATAAGAGGAACCATTACTTTCCTAGAAATGTTTGTAAAATAGTGTTTCTTGAGGTCATCGGAAAAAGAAGATAGATATCTAATGGGAACAGTTGCATTCAGAGAAAGATGCAGATTCTTGGAAATAGTCCAAAGAAGAACAGCAAACAATGATCACAGCACTGGAAGAGAGTGTGTGGCAAGGTGTGCACAGGTCCTGGAGAAAAGCTCCTACTAAAGTCTCCCTCTCCAGAGAGGCCTAGTTAGCTGGTCTGCGTGCAGGCTGAGATCTGAACCAAGGCAGTGAAGAGGCATTTACAACACACCAGATTTTTCAGAAACATACTAGGAAGCTATGTTCATTCTCTCAGGTGCTACGGTAAAAACCGGGGTTTCTCAAACTGTCCTTTGTGGAGGACGTCTAGAGATTAAGGAATCAGAAGCATCTGTTTCAAAGCACATTCGGCAGTCGCCATCCGAAACCGGGGTTTGTAGGTGAGCAGACAGAGCCCACAACAACCATTTGGAAGGACACCCTAAGGGCCACAATGATATTGAACATTATACTTCTTCTGGTTAATATCCTCACCTTGGTCTACTTCCTCCCATAATTCAAGTAAATTATTACTAGATGAATAAAGCTAGATCTTGAATTTAAAACCCAAATGTTGGACAAATTCTTAAATTAGAGAGTTATTTAAATTAAAGAGTTATTTAAAGCAAATAAAATTTGGAGAGGGGTTGCTCTCTATTGGCACTTTCTGATTTGGTTGCTTATACAAATGTCCTTGCAAAGTCACTTAACACTATTGATTCGCATTCTATATCCACACCAAAGGTCTGCTCTCAATTTACATAGAATTATTTTAAATTGTTGTACTGCATTACTACATCTATACCTGCTTTTTTGTTTACATGAACCATTAATTAATTTATTTTTTATTAGTGTGTGTGTGTGTGTTTTAATCCTCACCTGCGAATATTTTTCCATTGATTTTTAGGGAGAGTGGAAGAGAGAGGGAAAGACCAAGAGAAACATGGATGTGAGAGAAACACATCAACTGGTTGTCTCCTGCACAAGCCCCAACCAGGACCCGGATCGGGGAAGAGCCTGCAACCAAAGTACGTGCCCTTGACGGGAATTGAACCTGGAACCCTTTGGTCTGCAGGCTGATGCTCTATCCACTGAGTCTCCACAGGGGGAGAGCCACTCAGCCAGAAGCAGGGCTCACAGCTGGTGAGCGCAGTGGCGGTGGCAGGAGCCTCTTCTGCCTCCACAGCAGCGCTAAGGATGTCCAACTGCTGGCTTAGGCCCACTTCCCACAGGGAGCAGGCCTAAGCCATCAGTCGGACATCCCCTGAGGGCTCCTGGACTGTGAGAGGGCGCGGACCAGGCTGAGGGACCCCCTCCTGAGTGCATGAATTTTGTGTACCAGGCCTCTAGTATTATAATAAATTCATATATTCACCCACTGTCAACAATTTGCCACATTCATATTCTTTTTTCCCAACTTTATTGAGTTATAATTGACATATAACATTGTATATGTTTAAGTTACACAACATGATGATTTGATACACATACATATTGTAGAATGATTACCACAAGAAGGTTAGTTAACACCTCTATCCCCTCACATAATTACCATTTGCATGTGTGTATATGTGTGATGAGAACATTTAAGATCTATTCTCATAGCAGAATATAATACAGTATTGTTCATTACAGTCATATTGCTGAACATTAGATTCTGAGAACTTATTTATCTTATAACTGGAAGTCTGTACCCTTGACCAACATCTCTTCATTTTCCCCTCCCCTTGCCCCTGGCAACCAGCATTCTATTCTTTGTTTCCATGAGTTGGATGTTTTCAATTTCACATGAGCGAGATCATACAGTAATTGTCCTTGTCTGACTTATTTTACTTAGCAAAATGACCTCAAGGTCCATCCATGTTATTGTAAATGGCAGGGTTTCCTTCTTTTAAATAGATAGATATAGATATAGATGATATAGATATAGATATAGATATAGATGATATAGATATAGATATAGATATAGATATAGATATAGATATAGATATAGATATAGATATCACATTTTCTTTATCCATTCATCCATTGATGGATACATGTTATTTCCATATCTTGGCTATTATGAATAATGCTGCAATGAACATGGAGACTCAGATTTTTCTTCAAGATTATGATTTCATTTCCTTATACTACATACCCAGCAGTTGGATTACTGGATCATATAGTATTTTTATTTTTAATTTTTTGAGGAATCTCCATACTGTTTTCCATAATGGCTGTACCAATTTACATTCTACTAATAGTGCTCAAGGGTTTCCTTTTCTCTACCTCC